GCCATTGAAGACTTTGATCTCACTGAATTCAATAGCCTGCCGATGACCTAAATCCTATTAGCATCATAGGGACAGGCCCTGTTAAATGATGTAGCACAGCCAGAGTTCAGGTAGTGAGAATGACTTTTTCTGCCCATCAGGATATGCACAAGGAACTAATGCATTTAGGAGTGTTTAATCAAATATGAGTGTAATTATACTGCAGGTAGTCTGCCATTTGTTGGTGATGATGAGGGTGGATGTCATTGTGAGTATAATTCCGGGAATTGCTGAACATGCCGCACAAAGGATACCTTTCAGGAAAAGCATTGTTCAGCAAGTGCTAGTATAGTGTGTGGTAGAGACAAGTGGGTGGCTGCTCTGGCACAGGAAGAGAAATATAAAGTATGTAAAAGAACAAAGCCAAGAGAAAACAATTAAGTCCAACATCAAAATGGTATATAAAATGCAATAATAATAATAAATTCACTGGAATCCTCTGCTGTAAGAAATGAACAGTCAGTGTTTGTGGAGACAGAAGGGGCACTTTATGGGCATGTGTTTTTATGTGCTGGTATGTCTTTCTGGCTCCAGGGCCTTGGTGTTTGTGGTCCATGGAGCAGCAGAACACTGCGGGAGCTACGATGACGTCGCCCAAACCTTGATGAAGCGGAACCTACTGGTCTTTGCGCATGACCACGGTGAGCACATCACACTAAAACCAAGATCCCAGATGACTGAAGTATCATTATTACTATTAAATTTAGGCAGTGCAGTTGCAGAACTGTAGCCTCACATCCCCAGGGTTTGTGTGTAGTTTGCAAATTCGCCCCTATGTTGTCCAGGTACTCCGGTTTCCTCCTGTTGTCCAAAGTTATACAGTTAGGCCATTTGGCATCGCTACATTGTTCGCAGTGCATGTACCCCAAAATGGACTGCTATCCTGTCTAGGGTGTACTACTGCCTTATTCCCTACAGTTCCTGGGTTAGACTTCCAGCCCCATTGAAAGATTGTAGTGAGTAAACAGTTGTAAGTTGGATGAGTATTTTATGTTAATAATGTTTAGTCCCAGAACAATCAAGTGAGTGAGACTGACCACTAAAGTCCATTAGCAGTGAATGTAATTGAGAATTATAGATGGATGGATGGATGGATGGATGGATGCATGATGTAATATTGTATGTACTGTATGAGGAAAGAAATTTCAAAAACTCATGGTGTGAATGAAGTGTGTTAAACCTTGTAGTGACCGACATCTCACAATATAGCTCTCGCCCTGTGCGAGCTTTGAATCCCCACTGAGACGTCTGACATTTGACAGCTTGTGCCTGAAAGAGAGTAGAAGCATCATTCCGGTTATACTTGGAAACCAGTGCATCAGTGGAGAACATCTGTCTTTGGTGTGGTTGCCATGATAAATTAAACATAGCTAGGGTGGGTGATCAGTTTCTTACTACCCCTGAGCAGAGGTCTGTCTCCCAGGAACCTTTCCCATTTCGCAGTCTTTATGTTTACATAGCTGGGTATTATCTAGAAGAATTTCATTTTGTGCCGTGCTTTTCTACCTCACAGAACTCCTGCCTGCTGCCCTGATTTTGTTTCACTACACTATCAGAATCAGATGTTTGTCTTGCTGGGTCTTCGTTGTTTTAAATTTTTAAAAATTCACTAACTGTATTTATCCTGTTATCTATCTACCTCTTATGCTGAAAGGAATGCTGTGTAGTAAAAAATAATTTTAATAAACATTTATATTATGTACTTTAAATTAGTTAAATATACTAAATAAATTCTGATCTTTCATTGCTTAAATGTAGACTACAGTTTTCTTCCTGTTGTTTCTTTGTAAAGAACAATCATACAGTATGTGCTTTTGGAGCAGAAAAATAATGTTTATTTTTTGCTGCATAAGTATTTAAAAAGTGTTTGGAATAATGATTTTCTAGAAAGTTTGGGTATGTCCATGTCTGAGATACAACTTGGAAAGTGGAGGTATATAGGGATTTAATGACTGGAGGAAAAAGGCTTCAGGAATTTATGGTGGGTGGGATTCCAGCATTTTGCCAATCGTTGATTGCTTAAACCCCATTGCACACAGGAAGGTGAGCAGTTAGAAGTGGGCTACACCTACCAATAAAACAATGCATGACAATCTCTCCTATTTATTAAACAAAAATAATCATTAACTGTAGTGGCACACTTTTTTTAACACGTTGTCCTTAGAGAAGTGCATGTTTAGGAAGAGAGGGTTGAGAGAGCGTGAGAATGTGTGATCAAAGAGTTTAACATGACTGTCACGTGTCGTCCTCTGTTTACTCTCAGAATGATCAGATCTCACTAATGGCTTGGAATATGGAAGTGGTTGTAGCTGCTGAATCATTTCCTCTTCCTTTTCCTCTATAGAGATGTTTTTCTGATTGTTTTCTCAATGCTAGCTATTTTCCTTCTACAGTAAATTAAGCAATTTTAAAACGTAATCTTACTTTATCTTCATAAGCAGATGCGTGCCTGGATTCCACTGAGCCATTACATTTTTTTAATGACATCTTGATCCAAGCTCAACGATGTCAGATATTCATTTAAATAAATACAGACAAATTGATAAGCATTTATATTGTGGATTCGGTGTTAATGCCACATTAAACAGGAAGTATAAGCACTTTGGATTCCTTCTCTATTCCTGTTAGTGGGCCATGGGAAGAGTGAAGGGAAGAGGCTGGTGGTCCGTGACTTCCAGGTTTACATCCGAGACGCTACGCAGCACGTCGCCATTATGAAGAAGAGGTACCCTGGCTTGCCCATTTTCCTCCTTGGACACTCAATGGTAAGATGCTTTTTAGTAGGCTGTCTAAGAGGTGTTCCCTGTTACATTCAGCTGCTTGGCTTGACTTGTTTAGTTCAAAATGCAATGCAATATACTGAAAATAAGTTATCGTTCTTAGACCATTCCGGCGAGTGCTTCAGAGGTAGGAAACTTTGATGAGACAGTCACATGCTTGTTTCCTGAGTATATTTGGTATTTGTATAATATGTTTACTTTTCTACCAGAGTAAAGTTCCAGTTGCAAAGACAGTAACTGTTGAGAAATTGAAGTGAATATATAAAGGAGTGTTATAGTAGTAAATTCTCACCACAGTCCAATGACTCATTCAGAATTATGTGGTTATAATCTGTAGCCATTTGTTTTTGTGATCTTATCCACTTTTTAATTCAATTTTCAATTCATTTTGAATCCATTGGGTAAAGGAGTAAAATGTAGTTCCGCATATGAATACATTTATATTTAGGCAGTGGAGGCTGTTGTCCAAAGTGAGATACAAGTGAGGCAAGTAACACATTACTATGACTCTTGAGGAGTCAGCTAAGGCTTCAGTGCAGCTAGGCTGAGCTCCCAGTTAATGCCCAATTACAAAAGTATTATTATAGGAGCAAGATCAACATGACACCCTCCAACAAAGCAAGAACATAATGAGACAAGTCAATGACCAGAGGATCAACATTAGGAACATTCTGGGAACATTGGCATCAAGCTAGGAGAGTAATAACCGTTTATTGATCATTATAGCCCATTTGATTCATTGGTCGGTACCTTTTCTACAGATTTGGATGTCATAAATGATGAGAACACTAAGCTATGCAGGGTTTACTCAGCAGGGACAGTGAAGTTGACCTGCTTTTCACTGGTTTGAAAGGAGAAAGGTTATAGGCAGGTAGCTCTCCTTTCATGTTTTTAGGTCAGAGCTCTTGTATAACCACAGCACATCTCTGTCTTTTATAACCAGAATCTGAGTGTTTACAGTGTCCGGCCAAAGGGGATTTGTTTCCTCTAAGAGCACTAGCTCTACACTAGGACACCGTGAACCTGGACACCCTCTGTGTGTGTTTTTGCTAATACTGACCCAATCTCCCTCATAGCTTAGTGCCCATATTAGGCAAAATCCTCTGGAGAGGTGCTACCTGACCTACGGTCGCACAGATTGTTACCACAGCCGGTGGCACGGATTGCATTAACCATGACACCCTTTCAGGGTGGAGCCATCTCCATACTGACTGCCTGTGAGCAACCAGAAGATTTTGCTGGGGTGGTGCTGATTGCACCCTTGGTCCAGACGAACCCTGAGTCCGCCACTCCCTTCAAGGTGAACACCAGGATTTCAGCCCGTCCCTCTGTGCACGCACTCGTTTTCAGGAGGTGCTCACTCCGGACGCACACGCGTCCATTTGTATCTCGCTACCAACTGTAAGCTAACAGGGTATGTGAGAACACACACTCACAGACTCATAAGCTCATACATACATTCAAACACATTAAAATCCAGGTGCAGTTAGTGTATTAAATATTTATAAATGGAGTGGGTCAGTGATAGTTGTTACATAATAAATGCTACAGTTGCTCTACAAAATGTAGAAAAAGCATGCTGTATTATTCATACGACAGGTCTAAAGAAGGAATGCAGTCCGTTTTGTTCCCATTTATGTTAATATGTCACGATTTGCAGCACAATCCATGTCTCATTCAGTCTCTTTGCAGGTGTTTCTTGCTAAATGTCTTTTCCACATACTGCCAAGTCTGCCTCTGGGTTCCCTTGATTCCAAGTGGGTCAGTCGCAACATGAAGCAGGTAAGCTTAAAATTCTGATTTTCTGCGTGTTTGTGGATGTGGAAGGCTAGACATTGCAGTGATGTAATGTATTTATTTTTATTCATTTGAATTTGAAAGAATCTTGGCTACGTTCACTTCCCACATGCTAAAAATGAACATGAAAAATAAGATGCTTTAAGATGGTGATCTGTACCTCCACTCCTGCATAATACTTCTCAATACATGCCAGGTTTTCGATGTAATACAATTTTTGTCCTGCAGGTGGAGGCCTATGACAATGATGAGCTTGTCTACCGTGGTGGTCTGCCTGTATCTTTTGTCATGCATATACTGAATGCAACTGAGAGAATCAACAAGGCAATTCCAACCATCAAGTGGCCATTCCTTTTGCTCCATGGTGACCATGACAAACTCTGTGACATCGGAGGCTCTCAGATAATGTATGAGAAGGCCTTGAGTACGGACAAGAAGCTGAAGGTGAACTTTCACAATTCTTAAAATTTACAGTGATCAGTATAGATGGAGGGCAGACAGAAACAGACACTGAAACATGCTAAATGTGCATCTTGATAGATTAGCTATTCAAAGTGAGAAATGTTGTTTATGGAAAATGGCGTGAACAGTTTGCCGTCTTCTTTCTCCATTTCATCCATCCTTCTAATTGCTTTCCATTGCTGTCCCAGGCAGGGGAGGGCACAAACCAGCATGCACCCCCCCCTGGGCACCTGGACACAGTGGCAAATTTAGATGCACCAGTTAACCCTAACTGTATATCTTTGGAGTGCAGGAGGAACCCTGCATGACACAGGGACAACATACATACACACACACACACACACACAGAGCAGAGGTGGGATTTGAACCCCTAGACTACAGGTGTGAGTCAGTAGTGCTGCCCACTGAGCCACTGTGCTGCTGTCTTCTTATTTCTCCATATTTTTTGTTCTTGCCCAATTAAAATGCAAAACTCATACATTTGAAAGTCAGCTGACATATAAGATCTTTATTTACACATTAAAGATGAGGCCGAAGGGCAGTTTTACAAACTCTTTTCCCCCCCTTCACTCTCCATGCTGTTGTACTCACTCCAGGATTTTGGACTTAAATGAGTAGGGAAGAATAGAACGTTCAATGTCTGTGTATATCTGTGCAGTCTTTGTGTCTGTCTGGGTTACGTGTATCAGTTGCACTAACCTTGGTGTCCCTCAGGTTTTCGATGGCGCGTACCACGCGCTCCACCACGAGCTGCCGGAGCTCGCAGACTTGGTCCTGAAGGAGATCGGCATCTGGGTCGAGGAGCGGATTCCTCCACAGCCATTAGCAGACTCCTAGGCTGTGCATCCTCCTCGTCTCCCATACTATCTGTTACCTTTCTGGGTCTAACTCATTTTATAAGATTATTTTATGGATTGCACTGACGAAACATAAAATTCAGTCTGACCTCAATCCGGTGCTATGAAGCCAATAGTATGACGAGTAGGATGCGGACTAGGGGGAGGTGAGGAGGTCACTGATTTGCACAGGGTTGCTTCTGAGTGACCCCTGTCCCTGAGAGTCTCAGATTTCACTTATGCTAAAGGACAATTGTTGAACCTGCCAGGCAGGCAGGGTAAAAAGCCATGTAGACTGTCTTATTTCCCTAACAGTGAAGACCATACTGGATGTGACCAAAATGGGCACTGTGTTCCCAGTTATGCCGTCTTACTGTGCTGCTCGACTGTTAACTTTACCTATGTATTTAAGCTAAATCATATGTTATGAAGAAGATGTCTCTGTTTTAATTTGTGCATCCATATCCTCTCTATCTGGCCCCATTTGAATATCACTGACTAATTTGCTTGCTGCCAACGCATTTAGTTATACATCTCTGTTAGTCAGCTCGTGTTGCCACCGCTTATCTGAAAACTGTAGGAAGGATCTTCGTTACCATGGAACCATTCGAATAAAACAATGGAAAAACCATCATGGCAGACAGCCGACAGAAGCCAGATAGACTTGAGGCCTGAGAATGGACTTTGAACTAAGGGGGCATTAATTAAAATAGCAAAAAGGCCACTCTGCTGCTTTGTAGATACATGAGATCAGCAGAGTTTCAAATACTGGTCCTTAATCATGGTGTTCTTGTGTGCTTTCATGCTGCTAATTGAATACAAATGTAATGCACAGTTAGAAATGTTTGTATTTTTTGCTTCTCAAAAGGAGTCATACGTTTTCCGATTGTAAAATGATTTATTCTTTGCAGATGAGTCTTCTAAATGATTTTAAAATTGTATTTGAATTTAACAGATTGGAAATGCTGTTATTGTATAAGAAAACTAAAGGGCATTGTTGTTATGAATATACAACACTGAAATCTAATTAGAATCTATTAAAAATGTCTGGTTATATTCAGGTATGTTTATTGAGTTTTCAAGGAGAGATTTTGTTGACAAAGACCTATATCCTGACAACCTATCTACTGGAAAATAAGGCTGTCATTATTGGATGTTTTGTTTTAACATGCTTCAGCTGTTGGTCAAAGCCAAGGAAAAATAAAATTTTATGTTCAAATGACTCGACTGCTCTTCGATTCAATTCAATTTCACCTGATTAGGGAATAACATACTGACAACCGGTTGAGTTAATCTCACCATATTATGAGACTTTCCTTGGCCATTGTAAAGTATTTAGAAATTATTTAATTTTCACATATCCCCATCTCACAGACAGCTGAGAGCATGGAGTCATGGTGTGGGGTCAGCGGTTTACCTAGGTCCTTTGGAATTGGTTGCAGGGATAAGGACCTTGCTCAAGGGCCCAATAGAAATATGATCACTCTGCTAACCACAGGATAGCATTTGTGACCTCCAATCACAGTCACAGGCCCCTGACCGACAGAGCCATGCACAGCATGATAATTATACAGTAGAGACAATTAATTAATGGGACAACACATTCACATTTACTCTAACAAATGCTCTAGACAAATGTTATAGCACCATGACAGATATTACCAGATCCTGGAAATACATTGCAGTAGTTATTCTTAAATCAAACATGGGAGTTAAAAGGTCAACTATGAACTTTTTTTTAAATTTGTGTGTCAGTGAGGCAATGTACTGTGGATTTTCCTCTTGCTCCAAGCAAAACATCAAACAATATACAGCAACACTGCCTTAATATTATTACGATGTGTTTTATTAGGATTACTATGACAAACAATCCCTCGTCCTGTTTATATAAGGTATATCTATAAAGAGAAATGTGGGAAAGAACAGAATTGCGTAACTTGACGAATGCACATTTGAGAATAAAAACATTGATGTAGGGGGAAGGAAAAGTAAAATTAATGTTCTTTGGTGTCTGATATCAAGATTAATAAATATTTTGATCCAATCTAAGTAGGCCCTTTTCGGCAATACTGTCATCATACAAAGAAGAGTAGGCATGTTATTTACTACAAACAACATAATTGATTTCAGAACAACAGGCTCTCTTATGTGATCTTGTACTGTAATATGTTTACTCTCATAAAGATATTACTGTTGCTATTATTCCAATCTACAACAGTGTGTACTGGGAAAATTGTTATAGGGACTATTGTGTGGGGGAAAATGTAATCAAAGAGTTACCAGGCTGCTGGGTAGAAGTAAATATACACCTCCGATGGGCATGTCTCTAACCTTTAAATTTCACAATATGTTCTTGTTGACATTGTGGTTGGTTCCCTAATATAGGTTAGATGATTTCCTTAGTAGAGTTTTCTATGGTGTCATAGCAGTAATAACCCACTTATGTATGCAGGTAACATTAGGCATGACATTATTGGAACAGAAGGAATAAAAGGGTTAAAAAAAATTCCTAAAATATTACACAAACTTCTGCTTGATATTATTGCCCCAAACTACTGCAGTGCTATACATTTTCAAGTTTTTCTTGTCATACAAAACAATAAAATGCTTACATACTTCTATCACAATACCAATGACAATTATAACAATAATCAACGCATGAACAGTACGCCCAAACTGCAGAAACACTCATACATACGCAAGCATTATGCAAATAAACATACATTGAAAATTGTGTTTACAGCAGCTTTGGTTGGAATATAAGTGATATATAAAATTGATGTAGTCTTATGCCATGACAGAAAAACAGTTTCTGAATCTTGTGACGTGAATGCTTATGTCTCATTTTTAGCCATAAATGTATTCAACTTTTGTCACAGTAAAATTTAGATGTTGAACAGAGTAATATTGAAATTGACCACCAGAGTGAGACAGCAAATTAGCGTATCAAGTAAATCCCCAGGGCACCATCTGTGCCACTTGGAATTAAGAAAGGCCCTTTCTGCTCGGGTTAATGGCTTTATCTGACACCTAGAGTTAAGACAACACAGGAATAGAACAGCTTCTATATTTAAATATCCCGTGCTATGCATTTGGGAAATCCACAGGAGAATGCTTGGCAAGTGCATCTTATGCAAATTCAGGGATTTCAGTGGAAATGCCTTTAATTTTCTTTTCCAGACATTAATTAATTAATGTAATAAAAAAAGCAACTGTCAAAAACGACAGAACTGACACAGTATTAAGACATGACCCCAGAACCTGACCAGGAACAGTGGATGGAAGATAGATAGATATCTTATCCAATGTGGTTCCATGATTTTAAGTGCTAAAATGATTGTGGTCAGGGAAAGTCTGTCTGTCCATCCATCCATACCCACTTCTTCTATGCAGGCCCGGAGTCTATCTGGAAGCTACTAGCACAAGGCAGGAAATAACCCAGGATGGGGCACCAACCAATCACAGGGCACACACACCCCTCACACTCACATCTATGGACAATTTCCCCAGGTCCAATTCACCTTAGCATGTTTTTGGGCAGTGACATTCAAGTATTCAAGGGTTTTATTTGTAACATGAAAGGTATACAGTCAAACTATAACCTGAAAGGTGGTGAACTCCGCCATAATAAAAAGTGAAAGCAAAAAAAGAACAAGAAGAAATAAGAATATAACAATAATGTAAGGGGGTGGCATGGTGGTGCAGTGGTTAGCACTGTTGCCTCACACCTCTGAGACCTGGGTTCGAGTCTCTGCTTGGGTCACATGTGTGTGGAGTTTGCATGTTCTCCCCATGTCATTGTGGGGTTTCCTCCAGGTACTCTGGTTTCCCCCCACAGTCCAAAGACATGCTGAAGCTAATTGGAGTTGCTAAATTAGTGTGAGTGAATGGTGTGTGAGTGTGCCCTGTGATGGGCTTTCCTGCCTCATGTCCATTGCTTCCAAGGATAGGCTCCAGACCCCCCACAACCCAGTAGGATAAGCAGGTTGGACAATGGATGGATGATAATGTAATAAATAAGGAACAGAAAGTTACTTTCCTTATTGGAAAAAGATCAGTGATGTGCAATTCCACAGCGGCAGAGTGAGAGCATGCAAACTCCACACACGTAGAGACTGGAACCCTGGACTCCAAAGGTGAGGCGTCAGGAAAAGTTCATGTTAAAAAAATATTCATCTTAAGGGTGTGGAGTAAAGTTGTAACAAAACAAGAGTAGGAATTAGCTGTCCGTAACTATGATTAAAAATCTGCCTCAATGATTCCGTTAAAATCTCTGCTTTGTTTTTTTTGTTAGACTGGGTTGAAGTATGCAGACACCTGCAAGAAGCTACAGAATGCGAAAGATCACTGATGAGCACAGCACCAATCAGCAGACCCGAATAAGCAGCATCTTGTTCACAGATTTAGCTCAGAATTGAACTTGCGTCTATTTTCGGCATTTGCCCTTCAAACGCATCAGCACTCTACACTAAGATGCTCTTTTTCCCCCTCTCTTTATTCCCAAAGTTCACTTGGTTGTCAATCTGACCCAAAGTCACTGATTACTTGCTACTTTTCACGCGGGTCCGCAGAGCCCAATTACCTCGGGTTTGGTCCCTAAGGATTTCTTTCCCTTTTCTTAAAGCGTGAGCTGAGAGCAAAGCCCTGAAGTTGAGCGAAGGGTGTTTTCACGAGTGTTTGCGCTGGCAGTGACGTAAGACGCTCTAAGCAACACTAGTCACGCCCCCGGAGGACACTCGCTGTGGAGTGAGGGAAAGCCTCGCGCTGAGGAGGCAGGCGTCGGATTAAGCAAAACGTAAAATATTCACGGAAACAAACAAATTACAAATTTGGTCGGATGGACATCCAGGCACCACAGTGGAGATATCGGAATCCTTTGTATTGGTTAGCCTGCACTGAGGTCGCCGGTTTTTCTCCTGAGTTTTTTTCGTTTTGCTAGGAGTGAGAGAATCGCCGGGTTCGAGGTTCTTCCATTCTGGGACTATCGAGTAGCTAACTAACCGGCTTGCGGATTTGCTGGTGCGAATAATTCCGGGCTAAGGCCTACTGGAGCGGTTATTATACTACGCGTCGTTGTTCCCAATGTTTTGACACAGTTTTCAGTGACGAGAAAAAAAGCCGTGTAGTGTTACTGAGGTAATTAGCAGGCAAGCTAGCTTGGTCGCGCATCTTGCACTTCTTCCCCTTGGCTAGTTGCTTCGGTCGGTTGCGAAGAGAAGGTACAGTACAGTTGCGCGGAACCGGGGGAAAAGCCAGATAATTAGGAAGCAAGTGAAAAGAGGGGGGGTCTGAAGAAGAGAAGCCGGTGATAAATCACAAGCGCCTGCTGAAAGGTGTGTGGGAGAAGTTTGCACACAACTGTTAAATTGTAGTTTTTTCCCCTCTAGGTAGTGATACGGGTGCTAAAATTTATAAACATATATTTTTTCAATAAACTTGTACTTGGAAGTTTTCTATCTCCTTTGAAACCGTTGCCAATATTTCAGTCGTCGCCGTTACTGCGGTTAGCCGACTGGCTATCGTCCCAAGGTTAGGGGTTTTGGCCTAGTTAGCCAACTAATCCGCCTCGTAAAAACCCTGCATATCTTTTTCGCAAATATATATATATATATATATATATATATATATGTATAAATATATTTTTACACACAGAGGTAAAGAGACTTAAGGTAGACTTGGATATCTCTCTTCCCCAGCTTTTTAATACTATGACAAGCTTGAAGTGATGCTTTAAGGAAATTGTGGTAAAACGGACTGTTGCTACATGTAAAAGTAAGAGAAGCTAACTATAAAATTCTAAAGTTGTTTCCTGCGTCCCGATTTCGGATGCCGGTTCGTCCGATCGAAGGAAGCGCTCCTCTGTTCCTCTGTACCTACCTGTCAGCTAGAAGACTAATTTTCCCAGTTTTAGTAGCTAACTAGCCGATGTTAGCTAGCGAGCTAATCCAGTGTTGCTGTTGAATGTGGACTGATAAAGAATAGTTTTCATTTCTTTCAAATATTTAAATACAGACTTTTATTCAGATAAAGGGGAAGAAACGATATAAAGGGGGTAACCATGAGTATCGAGATACCGGCTGGGTTAACGGAGCTGCTACAAGGCTACACCGTGGAGGTGCTCCGCCAGAGGCCGCCGGATTTAGTGGAGTTCGCCGTTCAGTATTTCACTCGTCTCCGAGAAAGCAGGATCCAGGATGGCACCGGCCCGGGCGTTGCTGTCAAGCAGGGCGGGAAGGGAGTGATGTTCGATGGGGAACCCATGCAGACAGAATCAAACGGGGATGATGGAGATGAAGATGACGACTCGGACTTCGAGCGTGAGTAATCGGCTAGGTGCAAGTCTGCGAGTGCTTACCCGCAATGCCTGCCGGGCCTGAGTCTCATGAAAATCGAAATGGAAACGAAGTGGGTGTTACCGTGGGGATTACTGGGTTGTGTGTCAGACATCATTTTGGAAGTGTAAGGGATTAATGTTTTATGAGAATTACAAATACCTTTCGTTATTTTACGTCCAATATGATTGCTTCGTGCACGAATACTTCACGTCAGCACGCAGCACATAATCGTGCAGTTGCATGCAACCTGTCTAAATTCCTGGCATACCTGTTGCCATGGCATTTACTAAGTAAGTAGCTATTCTTATATAAAATGACATATGGCTGTCAGGATTTATACGGCCCCTATTTATCTCGCAGTCTGTCTCAGGGGAGGCATTGTATGGAAGTATTGCAGAATTGTAAACTACATAAAATAATGAATGTTTCTTTTAAAAAGCGTAAAACCATTCTTCGGCAGGATTTTAGGTTTTTAAGCTGTGTAGAAAGTTGCTTCATGTTTAATCGGGATTTAACACCAGTGCTTTATTTTATGCGGCATCGTAAATTAATGAAAGGTTTGTCTCAACTATGAGGAGGTTGGTGGTGTTCCTCTGTGGGTCAAGACTCTGTGCCTGTACTGAGAAGGTTGCTGGTTCAAATCCCGCAGCTGGCAAGGTGATGATGTTATTGGGGCCTTGAGTAAAGTAGTAGTAATAAAGTAGTGGGCAGTATTTAACCTAATTGTAGACCTACAGAAACACAGTACTCATCTGAACCTGTGTTAATCACTCCATGAACTAAGCAAATGATACCAATATCTATTAGTTTATCGCACTAGTGAGTGAAATAATTTAAATATTTTATTGAGATATTGTAAGAACAGCTGGCTTTTTTTTTAAAGATTCACAGTAGTATTTTGTAATTTGTTTTAACTTCTTTGTTTAACTGGATATTTGCTAGAATGTTTGCAAGTGTTTTTGTACAGTAAGAGAAGCTTGATAGATTCAAATAAAAATTGCCAGTCATTCAAGACTTAGGGTAAAAGTGAGGAATTGTATTTCAAATAAGTTCTGTCGACTTATCTGCGTGCTTAGGCTGGTATTAATTGACTGACTTCATAATGTATGTTGCAAGGCAATGTGGAAGTTAGGCAAAGGATGAAACAAAGTTTTGAGGTTTTTGCAAGAGGATGTTAGAATTCCAGATATGAGATGTATGTGTATTTGAAAAAGCTTTGCCATGTATCAATCAATCCTATGAAGGACTTGCATCCCATCTAGTTTGATCGACTCCTTTGTTCCCTATTCTGCCTTAGATAGATTACCAGTCCTCTAATACTGTTAAGCATAAGTGGTTGGAGAGTGGATGGTTGGATAGATGTAGATTGTTCAGTCATTATGCTTACATACCCAGCAAAGTCGAGCTAAGGTTATAGCTGTACTACGCCATTTAATTGGACTACTGTCCTTGTCCCAGTATACATGCACGGGAGGGGAATCAATATATTGACCAAAGTATGTTTGACTCTGCTGCAATAGGTGGCGATATGGCTCGCTTCAGCTTGTTAGTATTGGGGTTTTTCTGGTTGACCTATTACATCACAGAAGTAAAAAAATACAATGAATACTAATGGATGCGAGGATAAATGAAGTGACACAAGCTTTATTTGCAATCTGTTGGGAAAAACAGATACAAGAAGATCAGGATAGCATAACAAGAAATAGCATTGTATAATATACTAGGACAGCACTGTATTGGAAATTGCTGAAAAATTGCTATTTGATTTTGTTGTAATATAGGTATTTATGAAACAGAGGAGTTCAACATAAATTTCTCATGAACCCATCTAGGAGTGATTTAAACAGCAAAGATGAAAATGATTATGATTGTCTCAGAGAACGCATGCAGTGCTCATGCAGAAGCAGGGGGGGTCGGTTTTACCTGATTCATTAGCTGATTCCGTAAAGGGAGCTACACACCGTGGGAGACTCGTTTTCTACAATAAAACCTGCTAAGTTCAGCTGAGTGCAGTTAAACTGTTCAGTGCAGCTAGGCGGCTGTTACGTTGTTGACTGAAGCACTGGAGATAAAGAAAACTGTTGAGGACTTAGTTTAGCAACCACTAAAAATGTAGTTATAAATGTCACTGAAAAATAACTATATTAATTCATATAATTGTTTCCTTAACTCCATGGACAGAGAGGGAACATGCCGTCACTAAACAACAATAATAAAAATTGTGTAATAATGGTCTGATGGTTCCTTTTTTTCAGTAGTAGCACCCCTCCCCCTGTCACATTGCCCCCACGCCAAAACTCTGGTGCACAGGAAACACTGACCTAGGTTCCTCTGGTGTTTTGGGTTTTACATCATCATACACTCGCATCCTGGCAACTCACCTGGGGTTGATTAGGCCCCGCTTACATCTTTTATGGAAGTGACTGGCAATATCATTCAGAAACCAACGGGTATGATGATAAGCATTCTTATTTGTCGCCCAAGAACACTTTCGCTGCTGGTTCATTTTTCATAAATTGGACAACATGGGTTTCAAAGGCTGGATTTGTCCTGTTGCTAAAGTGTGTTGGATAGCTTCAGTTTGACTGAATCCAAGCTGATCATCATATTTATGTTATAAATGCGTCCTTTTTGGTTAAGATAGTCTTTTGTTATTGTTTTATATCAGTCCAGAGGATCTGAAAAATCAATTAGGCAGGTGTGTAGTATTATCTTATGGTATTCTTACTCTGCTGTGCTTGTTGATAATCATGCAATGTGCTTTGGTCGTAGTTGCCTTGTACCATGTCCGAACATGACCGATTGCCACTTCTCCCACAGGTCTGTGCTCATGTTGCGCTTAAAGATCCAGGCCTGAGCACACTTTCGTCATCACCATATTACTTTGTGTTGAAGAAAACATAGGAAGGAAAGTGCTGTCACATAGCACAATGGAATTTATGATTAATGTCCTTATTTTGTGGCTTATTTGGAGTTGTCTTGGGCACGGTGGCACACACAGGTTAATATAGTATGCAATGATTTCTATATTTGTGCTGCGTGTATAAGAAGATAATCCCATATTTTATCAAATATCAGAGTTTTTGTGAGTTGCATCCAGTTGTTCTTGAATACATCTTGTCAACCCAAATTTCCAACAAACACTGCTGGGGTTGTAACGATACGAGATTGTCATGGTATAATAACTGTCTCTGGAAATATCACGGTTTTATGATATAATGGAATATGGTATTTCACCTTTATTATTATTATTATTACATTTACCCTTAAAGGAGTGTATACATGGGTTATGATTGAACAAATGCTTCATTATAGCTAAAATTTGAAACAATTATTTAAATGGAATTATGTGTAAAGTGTCCCTTTTCAAAATAAATTAGAAAGCTGTACATCTCACAATCGACCATAACAAATCAATCAACGTAATTTAACGCTTCTAATTTCAGTGATTTGGAGGGTAAATATGGCTGCAACAAATGCAAAATACACCAAACCTGATTTTAGTTCAGAGTGAACCAAAGAATACCAAAATACTATGGTACTGGTCAGTAGGAATTTCATCTGATGAAAATATAAATGAATCTTGCAGATATGGAATATTTAGGTAATAAATGGCATGCGAGGTACAAATTGGGCAGGTGGTATGGATCGGGTAGTGACACCATGGAAGAGATTTCGCATATGATTTAAAAGGAACCCAAGCTTTTAGCTTGCACTACACTAACAGGAAGACTATTCCATACTCTAACTACAAGACATCAATTGGAAAAATGACAGCACCTGTTGCTGACTCTGACAGACAGTTGAGGAGTGCAGGAGATGCATATGCGCAGATGAGATTCTCTGTTCGGTTACATTTGTTGAATACCCATAATATATGTACCTGTTATAATAGCCATCAGTTTCCATCCTGTGGCTTACCGTGAAACTGGTAAAGGGCAGTGTGTGGTTCAGTGGGTTAAGCCTCTTTACCTGTGATCAGAAGGTTGCTGGTTCAAGCCCGGCCTCAGCACGTCTGCGGATCCTTCAGCAAGGCCCTTAACTCTCAGCTCCCTGGCCCCTGCAATGGAGCCAGTTTGCTCTCACTTACAGAGAGCATGTTGGGGGAGGTGAAAAGAGAATTTCACCATCAGGATAAATAAAATACTGTTTTTTATTGTTATTTGTATTTTATGAGACACTTTAACCAGCGAATTACTGGTGCTTTGCCTTTTTGTTTGTTGGTTTTCTAGTCTTCTCTCACTAGTTAATTTTCTTTTTACATCAGGTTGAAACAGATCATTTTTGTTCTATGACTGGATCAGCACTCATGGGCAATGCTGTCCTGATATTCCTGTTCCAGTTCTGAAAACCTACTAAAAACTCCTGAAAATTTGGGAGTTAAAGTCAGCAGGATCTATGTGTGTAAGATAAATAAGGGATGATTCCCTTTTATGGATTTTTTTCTGAGGAGAAAAATGGGGAGGCGGGTTGCCAACTAAACATTTCTCCAAGCTGTCTCTCCCAGATTTTCCAAATTTTGTCTCCCTCCTCCCCCTTCACTGTCATGGGTAGCATTGGAGGTAAGTTTGGAAGTAGTACCAGTATAATACCCATTGTCCTCTCACCCTGCTTTCAGCAGCTTCCTTTGCAGCTGACTATATTTTGAGAGAGCCAATAGCTTTTTAGCTAGGTATGTGTCCCAGAAATAGTCTAATCACATAGAATTGCAATCATAAAGCCAATAGCTTCATATGTTTATAATGTAGGTTGATCTGAAATGATTGTAAAGGGGTGTGAATCATCGTCCAGGAGTTTGCCTGGAGGCTGCTGAAAACTGCTGCCATATTGAGGTTGTTTGTATTTATCTTTCTTGCTCACTTCCTTTAAATCTATATGTATGAAATAATTACTATGAGATGCATCGTAACTGCGTGAAAGATAAAAGAATTAAGAGCAGAAATTATTTTTAACTTGTACCACAGCACTGGAATTCTAGAATCTGAAGGGTGTTCATTAATTTTCTGTAACCACACATGCATTGCCTGCCAGCCCAATCATGATAGTAAATGAATGTGCAATTATTATCTTTTACTCTAACATTATTTAACAGAAACTATAAAAGTAATATTTACAAATCTCTTGGACAACACCAGTGCTTCAGCATGAGAACCAGAACCTGTGGTCAGTGATTCAATTCCAAAGAGATTTACTGATGTAATGCACTTGATACTTTACGCTCCAGTTTCACCTGCCTATATGAGACAGAATGCAAGTTCAGGTTTTATCAGTTAACACTAGATGAGTCAGAACCACGGTCACTACACTTGGCATAGATGTTTGTAGATACAGACTGGCTTTTGGGTTTAGCAGCAGGCAATTTCTACCTAATTTACCCAACTTACACAAACTGCTCAAAACCCATAATCTGTTAGCTGGTGTACTCTAGTATGAACCTGTAAGTCAGTTTAAAGGTTTTAAGTCAGGGGTGTCAAACTGCAGTCCTGGGGGGCCGCAGCCCTGTGTAGCTTAGTTGTTTCCCTGTTCCACCACAAATGATTCAGCTCAACAGCTATGTGGTAATTAGCACAAGGAGTTGAATCAGGTGTGTTAAACGAGGGGAAACCGAAAAATGTGCAGGACTCCGGCCCCCCAGGACTGGAGTTTGACACCGGTGTCTTAAGTGCTCTCATTGCATATTCATATATTAGTTTTTAAAGCCTGTTAATCATGCTTTGGGTTGTAGTTGCCTTGTACCATGTCTGAACATGAGTGTACCCGCTCTCCCACTGGTCTCTGTTCACGTTGCGCTTACAGATCCGGGCCTGAGCACACTTAGCCGACTAGTAAACATTTTTCCAAGCTCTCTCTCCCAGACTTATGTAAATCATTCTGGCCGTGGATTTCTTCCTGTAGCATAGAGGCAGAGCTTTTGTTTGAGCAACATAACCGTTATATGTTTCTATTCTTAGCAAACTCAAACAATGCCACTACAGCACTAAATGCAGATAGTTTGCCATGCTAAGTGAAATGCATTGATACAAATATCTCATTTAGTGCTTCGTAGTTGATAAAATGGAAAAAATATCAGATGGGTATCGGCAGATAGTCAAAATTTTTTAATTGTGATCAGACCATAAAAAATATTGTGCCATTTCTATAATATGTATACCAACCTCGGATCAAATCAAATAAAATCAATGGTATCGACCTTCACTACACGCTAGTGTTGTAAACCAAATAAGTTTTTTTTCCCATATTCAAAAAAAATTGATCATGTGTAAAACTGACAACCTATTAGTTGTTCATTTTTTAAAGAATCAGAAAACTGCAGAAATCAAACTTTCTCTGAATTAAACCAAACCTTTGACTGATCATGACAATGCACATTTATGGTATATGGTAGAAAGCCTTCATAGAAATACATTTGTTCATTTCAGAATGATTCGGGTGGAAAAAAAAATGGCCTTAATGCACAAATTCTTACTTTTCAGCTCATTAATGTCAAGGCCAGTACAATAAACCCATTTCTATTGTTTGAGTTTCCAAAGATTGAATTGACTCATGCATGACCTGTAGTTATTAGAATGAGAGTTGTATAATGCAGATCTCACATTGGCTTATACTGAGTTTCATCTCAGATGCTCTGTGTCGTAGTGACACACCTGAATGCGCTGAGCCGTAGAGGAATACACTTGATGCTGTTAGCCCGCATTATTTGTTTTGCAAGTTCTTGTTTTTATTGAATCTAATTCATTCTAAATATTAGCAAACAGGGTGATGGTATCTTGGAAGCATACTAGAAAATTTCAGGTAGAAAAGCATCAAAAGCTCTATTATAAAGTGTTCTGAAATTATTTTAACTTTGGTTAGGCATAGGGATGAGTCAGCATAGTTGAATATTCGAGAATAACAATTGTAAACAATTTAATTGAATGGTAAATGAGCAATTTGAAATATTTAGCAGTATAATTAGTTGTGATTTATCTGTTTTATTTTTAACTATCTAATAAGTTAAGTTTATCCTTTCTGAAGCTGTTTTTGCATGAGCTCTGCATGCAGTCTCCGAGTCAATTTTTTTGTCCTTGCTCACTTAGTGTATGGCGCGCGTGTGAGAAATTTTAACAACAATGCGTGTGGAGAACATGAACTGCGATTTGTCAGCACTGCTTTATGTCTGTTGGCACAACTTACCGCAAGTGTAAGAGAATCTGATTATGTTGTTGCTGTTAACGTTATATGCACATTTAGATTGTCATATTTATCATTAAAAGTGTTCTTTTAAAATAAGGGTGAATTGTCAGTGTACCAATAGAGACTTGAGCATTTCCAAGTAAAAGCAGACTCTGACGGTAGATAAGTTCTTGTAGCTGTAGTTTAAATTTTCAGTTTATATTTTATTTTATAATTATGATATTGCAATGATTGCTGATATCGCAATATGGTTGCATTATAATGAGCCAGATCCCATGTTCTCTACTGCCAAGTATGGTCTCAATTTGTGACATTCCATAAAGTAACAGGAAATGTTTAATTTTCAGGAGTTAAGCAAAAGCAAATGCTATTGTCATTTTATGGTTTTATACATGTGATTTTTTTTCCCCTTTCAGTAAACTACTTATTCAAAGGTGTGTTGTTGATTATAGCTGTAGCAGACTTCTACATCTATAACATTCTTTTGGCACAGCAGGTTATGCAATAATGGACAATTAGTTAATGAGCATTGTTTGTGCTTACATGTTAAGTACAGGTAGAAGTGTAATTCTTAATTAGTGAGAGTGCTTCAGGTGAATACATAGGCTCAGTCAAGGAGATGAATGTTTTTATAAAAGCTTTATTAGTTTTGCACTGCAAGTTTGATTTACCCCTTTTATGCTGTTTTATGGGATATCAGTCCAGGTATTGTGGGTTTACCAGGAGTCCCAGAAGGTCTGCAAACATTTCACTGTTTTCCAGTTAGATTTTTAATCCTCAGAATTGTACTTGAGTGGGCGATTTACAGATTCTGGTGCCTCCTCAGTGTTTGTTAGTGAGTGAGGCACAAATAGCACTGGGCTTGGGGATGGACAGAGAGACTTCTTGAGAAATTAAATAACGGAACATCCCTAGAGCCTGATTTCATGCTACTCAGTTAATGGGCCCTGACAGACCGGTCTCAGATGAGTAAGTAGCTGTAAGCTACACAGTTGGCATGGCCATAGTTTCTGTTGCACGGAACAATCCAAACAGCATGCTAGCATATTGTAGCTTCTGTTCACCTCAGACTGACCTCATGTGAATGGTCCTCTCAGCACACTTCCCCTTTTCTCCCCCTTTAGCTCCTCCTCCAAGTCGATTCAACCGCAGAGTTTCAGGTGAGTTGAGTGTTTTCTCTTCTTTTTGTCATTGTTGTGGTAGGGAACTCAGAAAAGCATGCAATTTATTACATTTCCTCACTCATGCATGACCTATTAAATATAAGCATCAAGTTATGTGTTTCTGAGGGGTTTTATGCTGTTGGTGTGATGTGGTGGGACAATGTACACAAATATTTCCTCCTTGATTATTTCAGCTTGGATATCATGACAAAAGCTGTATAACAAATCTGGGATTAAAAATAATGGTTTTTTGGTTGGTTGGTAGTCTTTTTTTAAACTCTATTAAAGTGTCAGAATGAAATGGGATAATTTTATGTCGAATCACCCAGACGGTCCCAAGTGAAAAAATTAACAAGTGCTCATATACCAAACTTATGGAGAAATCCCATATCTTAAATTTTTATTAATTTTATGCATTTTGCCTACTTTTCGGTCCAACTTCCAACATTTATTCATGAAAATGGCGGAAAATTCAAAATGACGCCCTCTTTGAGAGCAGCTCACTCAAACGGTATGCTAATTAAAGCACTCGGAATTTGTTTCCTGCCATTCATGACATATTAGGCCACGTGTATGCAGTAACCGTATGTAGTACTGCTGTAGGAGTGTAAGTAACTATGTAGTATTTGTGTTTTTATTGAATTTGCACGGCAACAAGAACATTACAGCTCATTCTTTAAAAAAAAAAAAAAAAAAAAATCATGTCTCCAAATGAATGCTTAGCATCAACACGAACTTTTTGTCAGATTATCTTCAGAATATATACATAAGAATACATAGCAAAAATTTGAAAATTATGGCTAACAGTCGACATAGTCAAATGAGGATATGAAAACAGGCAATTTTGAAAATCGAGCACATTTCAAAAAATTACTTTGACGCTTCTATAACAATAATGCATATGGTTACTGCATACAAATAGCGTAATATGTCATAATTGACAGGAAAGCTGAGTGATTTAGCAAACTGAGTTAGTGTTTTGAATTTTAGCCATTTTCAGAGTCATTTAGGAGGAAAACTACATAAGATACCGCTGCTCTGATTACATTTTTGAATTCTACAGACACTTAGCCTTAGTCATCGAGCTTCAAAGCTTTACCTGCCATAGCAAAGGAGCTATGAATGCTGGAAGTTAGAAATTCAAAAGGCTGTCATTTCAAACCTTCAGAACTATTAGAGATACGGACCTATTATTTGGGATTTCACTGAATTTGGTATAGGAGCACCTTTGAATTTTTTTTAAGGGGATTCTGAAGCAGTGCAGGTATGACACCTTAATCATGTTGCTTGAGTGTTGCCTTGTACCGACTGCTTTTCCCACAGTGTGTGCAGAAGCATTCAACCCCGATGATGATGATGAGGACAGCGAACCCCGGGTGGTGCACCCCAAGACGGACGAACAGCGCTGCAGACTGCAGGAGTCTTGCAGAGACATCCTCCTGTTCAAGACTCTCGACCAGGTATGTACACACATGTCAGCTTGGCTGCACGCACAGAAACCAAACGCCCTGGCTGCTATTCAGAATCCATCTAGCCTTTTCCTGCTCTCCTTCCTTTCTCCACACCCATCCATTGTAGTTTGAATAAAGTGGCTTAAAATACATGTTTGCATGGCAGAACTCTTTCCATCTGGGATTTCTTTTTCTGAGTCCTGAAGCTGGACGTTCTCTTTCCTGTAGGAGCAGCTCTCTGAAGTATTGGATGCCATGTTTGAGCTTCATGTCCAGCCACAGGAGCATGTTATTGATCAGGGAGATGATGGAGACAACTTTTATGTTATTGAGAGGTGTGTGATTTTCATGCTAAGACTTTGTCCCCTCTTCTTAGTAGCAGTTTAACATGTTCTTTTATGTATGATTAGTGTTTACTTCCAGTTATTGTTGGATTTTGCAGTAACATGAACATTATAGGGATTTCTGTGAATCGGTGTAGTCGTTGACCTCATCAGATGTTGTTGACACTTTGATACAATGATACAGCTGTTTCTATAAATACTTTGCATCTCACTTGCAGCACATTTTCAGCGAGTTATTTTTTTTCTTCCCTCTGCTGTTTACCTGTTGACTTGTTTTCCAGTCTCAGAATCACAGCCCCTTCCCTGTTTGTGCTGTTAAAATTTCCTGTGTATCTCTAAGGCTTTTTCAGTGAAAATGTTACTTTGCCGCATGGACATTGTGATAATGCCCTTGTAAAGGAACTTATCACTGTTTACTGTGGCCTTGTGATGAATTTATTTTTCCCTTCACAAGGTTGACATACTGTTTTGTGTACTGTACTCTGACTTCCTTTTATGCCATTCTTCATGTGTGTCTCTCTCTTCCCAGAGGAGTGTATGACATTATGGTACAAAAAGATGGGGTCAGCTGCTGTGTTGGAAAGTATGACAACAAGGGCAGTTTTGGGGAGCTGGCCCTCATGTACAACACCCCCCGTGCGGCCACCATCATAGCCACATCAGAAGGGGCGTTATGGGGCCTGGTAAGACCCAAACCTGCATCCCATGACTGACACACTTTTCTGTCTAGTCGGCTTACCTTTTACTACAGTGCCATCTGCTGGCAATAAACCATGCACTGCCAGTGTATGCTGTGTGGGATTTTTGAGCTTTTGCCTGTAAGTACAAAAAACAGGCTGAATTTTACATTGATGCTCCCATTATGGTAGCGCTATGCTGCTGAGAATGTTATGCAGAGAATGTTAGGCTCTGAGGTGGTACAAACCCATGTTTACCCCAGGATCGAGCCACATTTCGCAGACTGATTGTGAAGAACAACGCCAAAAAGAGGAGGATGTATGAGACCTTCATAGAGTCTGTTCCACTCTTAAAATCTCTTGAGGTATGTGAGTGTATATTTATTGAGCAATGTAAGATGACCAATTTGTCTCACTGCCATATACTCGCTGAAAGATTTTATCGACAGCGCACCAAATGATGACAGATTCTTTGTGTGGTAACAAGGTATAAATGTGCACATTTTCATTAAAGGTAATTTTACTTGTTGTAACTTTTTAAATTGTGCATTAGTAAGCAATAGAATAATTCCACAATATTAATACAGACATTTAACACATTTGTGTTGGAGAATATAGACAGTTTATGGAACTTCATTTAATAAAATTTGAAATTCTCTCCCTCATATTGTTGCTATTTTACTCTAGCCCAAATTGTGCATTGATAATCAGGGGAAAGATAATGGCATATCAGACATGGTACTGCTTAAATTTAGTCCAAAGAATTATTAGTTTAATGACTGATGGTGATATAGAGCATGAGCTCTGTTCAATACATCCAGGATATGAATATTATTTCTGTTTTTATAAATAGTACTGTGAACTTGATCTGATCATGCCGCAGAAGATGTGCAGTTGAAGTTTTGATCACTAGTTCTTATGACGTGGTTTGTAGTTGGTTCCTGAGATTGACCTAGTTGTCTGTCCCAGTTACGCTTGGCCTTTTCTCTTTATTCCCCATGGTTTTGGCCAGGTGGCAGAGAGGATGAAAATCGTTGACGTCTTGGGAATGAAATCATTCCGGGATGGAGAGAAGATCATCCAACAGGTAAAGAAATTATTCCGGTTCTGTGTCTCTGTCATTTTGGAACGGTTGTGTATTTTGACTATTTCGCTCAGTATAGCAGTGTGTGACACCGCAAAGTTGATCAGCAAGTTTGAAGCTTTACTGAGTCGTATAGCTGTCCTTATTATCTGCGTCAGTTGTAAGTCACTTTGGACAAAAGCATTTACACATTTTCTTCCAAGATAGAATCACATTTAAAATGTGTATATTGTGGAATGTTCCATCAGTGTTTGTTTAAAATGATTGGTGTTATGTATTAACTAGTAAATAGTATATAATATTATCATTTTACCAATGGTAATTTAACAGTTATTACTGTAGTGACATTACTTCACCAGGAATTGGCACTCCAGGTGAATATGGTCACATAAGAGTGATTTGTGGCACGGCCCCTTTCCCTTGACAGGGGGAAAAGGCTGATTGTTTCTACGTCGTGGAATCTGGGGAAGTAAAGATCATGATGAAGAGTAAAGTAAGTGAGAAATCTCCCTGTTCATACGGGCTGGGATGATCGTAATGATTTCACTGCTTTGCATGGATTGTGATGATACACTGTTCATCACATATAATTATATGCATACGGCATCCATGTTATGTGTCTTATTTTCCCTGGTTCCCTTTCCCCCACCACGACTCATCCAGACCAAGGCAGACCAGCAGGACAATGCGGAGGTGGAGATCACTCGCTGCACTAGTGGCCAGTATTTTGGAGAGCTGGCTTTGGTAACAAACAAGCCCCGTGCAGCCTCTGTGTACGCCGTGGGAGAGGTCAAGTGCCTGGGTAAGTGTGTGTCTCATATCTGAGTTGCAAATGTGCACATTCGTTCCTCTCTTGTAGTTCATCCACGGGCATCTACTTTTAACCTGAAGCTTGCTGTAGTAAAATATCCACATCATCGATATGAACAAATGGGTAAAAGTGGATTTAAGTCTGAGCAATCTTATTTTTTGTTTTGCGATTGAGTCTGCCCCTTTCCCTGCTTTCTAGTAATAGATGTGCAGGCATTCGAGCGGCTGCTGGGCTCCTGTAAAGAAATCATGAAGAGGAACATCACTCACTATGAGGAGCAGCTGGTGGCTCTGTTTGGCTCCAGCATGGACCTGAGGGACTGAAGGCTCCAACATGTGCCTTACACTCCAGCTTTTTCTCTCTTACACACACACACCGATACACACATTTGCCATAGACAAATTAATTCTGGGGCGACAGTCTGGGGAAATCCCCTCTCCATTTTGTGTAGTACATACTCCAATGCATTGATCTCATTTTTAGGCATTTCTGGTTTCTTTCACAGTCCAACTCATGTTTGTTTGTTGATTGATTCATATGACATCTGACATGACACTGTTTCCAGTTGGATCTCTTGATGCAACCAAAATGAGTAAAGCTGAGTGGAAGTGAGTGAATTAAAGTGATGTAGACATGGTGTGGTGCATGTTTGGATCTACCTTTTCTCATGGTGTATATCTGCTGGAAACCCAGTAAACCTTTAACCCCAAAGGTAACAGGCCGTCTACTCCACAAGTCTGTCCTATCTTGGGATATGGGGATAAAGGGAAGGTTTGGCCTGGTGTTATGAGCATTAAAATGTGCAAGGTATTGGCACTCTTGCCCTCTTTGGGTTTTGGTTTGTTGCAGAGTCTATATGTAAACCAAGCAATGCAGGTTTATCAAAGGACACATCTGGTACTGCTTCAACTTTCACCAAGGGATCATGTCTACACTCACAGAAACTCAGGCAGGGCAAACACAAAACCTCAGCCAAGGACACACATGCTGGTGATCAGAAAAAGTGTTTTCCTGATGCTTGACTTTTTGTAAAACCCCATCAGCAACAGGTGAATTGTGAGATATTAGGATGCAATATTTAATAGCATTGGAGCTCTATTTTGAAACTCTACTGCCAGTGGTTGTGGCATTTTGTTTTTCTGATGGTAGAGAACAGGTGACACAATTGTCAAGCAAGAACACAGCACCTCAGCCAAGGACAAAAGGACACAAAAAAAGCCACGCACACATGGTTACACTCTCGCAAAAGCAGTGGACCCTCTAAAGGAGAATTAGCATATTTATAAAGTAAAATTAACTTGATTGCAAGAAAAAAGTTTTAGAAATCTTTTATGGAGATAAAAACAAGCTTTGATAAAATATTTAAATAAAAATGTACTTTACTCAGTTGGGGTCCTTCATTATTGTTCTCCTGCTGTTCTTCATGCAGTTTGTGTTGGTGATTATTGCAGAGATCGGGTGTTCCGGGTTGAGTTAAAAGTTGTATTGTGTTTTTGTTTCGACCAATTCAGAAAACAGCCACTGCTATGTTAAGCAAATATATGTTGCATCTTTTGGCTTTGATTCCTCTAAGTTGTCTTGGGGAAGGGGTAGGAGTGGGAAATAAAGCATACGTTTTGTTAAGATGCGGTGTCTGTGTAGTTGGTGTTTTCTTGTGGTCCTTCAATGACAGTTTTATTAGATGATTTTACTGAACTTCCCTTCATGGAAAGCAGCTGACTGGGCTGGGTTTATGGTCTGCCTCACAATAAGTTATTCATATTACTACACTGCATTACTAAACCAGTCCAGATCCACTTACTCTGCTTTACATGTAAATTGATTCTATATGAATTCTTTATGTCTGAGAAAGCTTTTGAGAGTGTGATACTCCGGTGTAAATTTTAAAGATGCTTGGAGATTAATAATACTGGATAGACTGTGACAGTTTGTTTACAAGATCCAAAAAGTTTTTTATTATTATTATTATTATTATTGATGTCCATCTAGAGTGTTCATGTGTTGGGTTCTAAAATTTTTAATGTGTGCATACTGAATGACAGAAAAGGTCAGGGTATTAATTTCTATTGAAAATGTTGCACAGTGTAATCTAAGGGCCTGTTCCTTAGTTTAGTTATGATTACCCAGTGCTGTCTAGTGATAAACTAGCTCTGTGTGGATTCATTTTGTGTACTCCCTCCACTGTAAACGACAAATTTTACACTTCTACCTTTTTATTTCTGAGATGTACTACGCTGTGTGCACAATTGAGTTTAATGTGCCCAAGAAATATTAAACTCCGCTCACGAAATCTCAGAAAGATGCTCTCAATTTGCCATTTCGAGCTCTCAGATTTTTTATATAATTTGACGTTTTCGTTATTTTTGTTCTTGCCTAAAGAAAACATGCCCGCAAAGCCGGAAGATAGCGTGAAGTGAAATACTATTGATTTTACAGTAGTAAATGTTTTTGCTCAAAATGTTATCACAATATGTAATAATGTTACATTCCAACTTGGTCTTATTCTGCTACACTTGGCACTTCTGCAAAGTTTCAACCAATTCTATGGTGGTGGTAATCTAATTCTCAATGCTGTTCATGGTATTAACCAATATATGTTTTTTGGCCCTTTGACTTGGAATATACCAATTCCTTGTCCACAATCCAACAAGGAATATTGACAAACAAGTTAATTTATCTTCCCTGATGGCTGAACTCAAGTTCTGAATGGTTAAACATGCTTAATCCCTCTCCTTTTCAGACACACACGTTTGTATTAATATCTTTCTGGAGACTGTCCATTCATTTCTATTAGCAAAACCAGAATCCCAACAATAACAACCTTAAACCATAAGTAACCAAACAAAATACAAGGCATTTTTTTATTGCAGTTTCAGATTTTTATGAAATTGAGTTTTCCCTTGTGGGGACCGAAAAAATGGTCCCCACAACATAAAAATAAGTCTACTGCCAGATCCAGGATCCAGTTACACTTCCCTGATCTTCACCAATTTCCTGAGTACACCTGGAAAGAATCCCCAGTGTAATTATTTCATTACCTACTTCATTCAATAGTTACCTGAGAGGCACTGATAATTTTCCCTATTGTTCTGTCTTTTTGTTTCCATCATTTTACCAACGTATTTCCTGTTTAACCTTAATTTGAATTTAAATGTTGGTATTGTTCTGCCCTCCCGCAGTTTTCTTGACAAGTGGCCCATTAATGATTGCGAGTTTTACATTCTGTTTTGATTTTGTAAATAAATGACTACGGAACACAAGGCACATACACCTCCAAAAGATTAGTCACATAACACTAACCAGTAGACTCTCATCATGTCCCCTTGGACACTGTCATGCTCCTGCCCCAGTTTGGATCAAAACAGCCATTTTCACACGTCCCTGTAAACACCAAAAGAGTGAAAAAAAATGCATTTCAAGGTAAAAGCTTATACTTAACTTATTTTACACATTTTTTTTAATAGGCATAAAGACACATTTTCTTTAACTTTATAGAATCGAGGCATTAGCATGCATTTCTTTTTTTAAAGAGGTAGTCGTTCGCTCGCGCGCACCTTCAATATCTCTCGCGCGTACTTTGAACATCTCTCGGTACATTCATTCCCTCTCGCGATTTTCGCTTGGCTTTTGTCTGGTTTGCGGCTCATGAGCGCTGCACTGCCATGCGAAACTCTCACTTAGAGCGTGCAGTTTCGAGCATGCATGCACCGCGTTACATTTTCTGCAAGTCAGCGGTTTACTTTGATTTATTCTGAATTGAAATATTAAGTTTAGTGCATTTTGTATTTATTACAGCCATATTTATATCACTCCAAGTCAGTGGGATCAGAAAAAAAACATTTCAGCGAGCGTTTACATGAATAAAATATGAATAAGATAAATTAACCTATTTTACAGATTTTTATATGAACATGAATGTTTTAAAAAGGTGTGTTTCATTAGGCCTAGTTATTATTTAAAAATTGTTTACGTTTAGCTTGTATAACCAAGATGTTTTATTAAATTATTAATGTATATTTAACTCGATAGCCATTTGTTTTATGGATGATAACCACGTGATGAGGTTGACACTTGTCATTTCCGCTACCGGCGAATTAAGGATTATTTGATTTGTTTGGCGCGGAGCAGTGTTTGCTGGCTGTGTTCAGTATATTTAAATTCTTCTGCGGAGCGTTTATTTTAAGCATCGTTATCATTGTAACTTCATTGTTCTCATTCGCATCCCTGTCTGCTGCTGCGGTGGCGTGAGTGTGTCCGCGTATTAAGCTCATTCATGTCGTTTTATCATGCTTGATCATTTTGCCCGATGCATCTTTTTGGGAGATATCTCTTTTAATATGGTATCTGAGGTATAAATTTTTATAAAGAATGTAGCTCTTCATGCACTTGTTTAAAACAGCGATTCTGTGTTGGCACCTTTGGTTAAGGTGCTCCGTCTGGCTTAATAGCCCTTTCGCTTCGTTCCATGCTGTTTTAAGGTATATTTTGTGTGTGTCCTTGAAGTGCAGCGTTTTGTACTATTATTTTTTTAGTTTTTGTATTTCTTTAAAATGGTAATACAACATAACGCCAAATGTAGCAGACAGGGCTCCCCCCCATTCTAATTTCACTCCTCTTCAAGCCCACAAATCAGCCTAAACATGTTCCCTGCATTCAGTCAGAGTGAGTCCACTGACAAAAAAACAAAATTAGACAGAGTGCATAAGTTAAAAAAAAGCTTATTTTATTAAAATTTACAGGAAAAGCATAATTGTGTTTTCAGCATTATCATCATGACATGAAAGTGCATCTGCTGTCTACATAAGACTGTACAATAAAAAGAAAAAGGAAAAAAAAAGACTGTACAAGGTCACTACCCCTTATTCTCTGTTCTGGAGTCTGCACTTTCTGGTAAATGTTTGCATTTACTAATCATACATCTAGAATAATCCATGACTGCATAAGAAATCTAGAAACTGTCTAACATCTCCAGATGAGGTGATAGAATTTTAACATGATGGGTGTTTTGGGGATGTGACCCATCAGGGACAGTGATGTTGTGACAGTGAAAGATCTGAAAAACTGTTTTGAGCAATTGCAGTTGATCAGATATGATCATTATTATGACCAGCATAGAGATGATACAGACGGACAGGCCCCACACCAGGTAAATCACAAAGTTTACAGAATCACTCCAGGATGTGGAAAAAATTAAATGAATTAAGAGACCGTAAAGAGCAATTTGATGGGCTAACCATCAACTGCTGCCTAACAAGGCTATGTTGTGACTGCAAACACCTGCTTTTGCTACCTGACATCCTGAACCTATTTCTTAAACATCTGTTCATCCATCATATTCACATATGCACCATATTACCCTAATCTGATTAAACCCCCTTATTTTCCAGGTGATATTTAGAGAACATCTTCATCACTGACACTCTATGGTTTCTCTTTGCAAAAATCCAGCTTTCTCAGGCATGAGACATCTGAGCTGAAATCAGATAAGCATAGGCTGCTTCTGCCAGTTTGTCCGATAACCTGAAAAGAAACAGAGAGAAACTCTTCACTCTCTTTTCTCTGGACATATAGGTCAGTTCAGTCAGGATGGCAATAATGGCACAATGTATTTGATTTTAAACAAGGGGTTATTTTCAAATGAAACTACAAATAATTCATTTAGTTTACATGACTATTTAATGATTTCCTAAACATTGCATTAAGGCTAAATGGATACCAACTTGAGTGTCTTCAGGTGACTTGTAGTATCCTTGTGTATTTCATAGCGCTGTTTAATTCCTGAGTCTCCTGTGTGATTGTAGCTCAGATCCAGCTCTCTCAGGTGCGAGGGGTTTGACCTAATAGCTGAAGCCAGAGACGCACAGCCTGTATCTGTGACTCTACAGCCTAACATCCTGTAAGGAAAAGGAGAAAAACTTTGTGTAACTTTTTTTTAAAAAACTGGTTTCTCTCTGGATACACAGCTCAGTTCAATAAGGAGATACTGTCATGACAGCAGCCGCCTGTCTGATCACAGGGCTGCCATTTGGCAGCAACTAAAACACTCGAACATGTCATTGCTAATCAACTCCTAGCCCATCTCCAGAAAAATAACCAGACAGACTGAAATGGATCAGACTTTTGCCCTCTCCATAACATCTCTCAAAGGTCCGCTCATATCTGCTGACCACGCCTTCAGAATCCACATCATCTTTATGGGACCAGGTCCTGCACAGTCCTCTGTGATGGAAATCGTCAAAGCTAAAGCATTTAAAATTTGCCCCCTACTGAGAATGACCCATCTCAGTTTGTCCTTGCACCCCCCTCCATCCCCCTTGTTCTGAGACCTTCCCTCAAACTCTTGTGAGTTTCAAACATCTTTTCTTTTTCTTTTTTTTAATCATACTCTGTGCATAACTTATTTTAAGAATCCCGTCGCAGGTGTAGCCTTTACATATATGAACTTCGTAGGCGAGAGACCAAAGCAGACACAAAATGTACAGGTTACATTTCCCTAGAACGAGCTGGAATGCTGCTTTGATTTACTCCTGTATTGTGAGATGCACAGAAAACAAGCCACCTGCTCCTCTTCTAATTTGCCCAGCACTTCTCAAGACTTTGTAACCTGGTTGTTGAGGGCACTGCCATGGACTGGTTTTCATCCTACCTGATGGACAGGAAATGGTTGATATCCATCGCAGGGCACGCACGTTTGGTTCTCAGGTCACTGCTTTTCATTATATACATCCTTACCCTTGGCCTTATTAGACATGGTATAACTCTGCTTGCGCTCTTATGCTGATGGTACCCAGATTTACCACAGTACTAAAATCTATCCGCTCACCACCTCCTCCCCACATCAAATCCTGTTTATCTGCATTCAAGACATGGATGATTATTCTGAAGTTCAATGGTGATAAAACTGAATTCATCCTCATTGGCTCAAAATCAGTCCTTAATAAAGCTGGTTTTGTTTCCGTCCACATTGATGGCACAGCAGTCCTTCCCTCTCCTGAAGTTTCCAGTTAGGTTCAGGATGTCGCAGTTACTCTGGACCCCTCTTTTGTTGGACCCTCATATATAATCCTTCACAAAAACCTTCTTCCATCTATGCACCATTGTCCAAATTGGACCCTGTTTCTCCTAACCTACTGCCAAATCCCCCATTCATGCCTTCATCTCCAGCTGCCTAGATTATTGCAACTCACTCCTCCTGGGCATGAGCTCCAGCTTCTTTCCCAAGTTCCAGTTGGTCCAGAACTGCCTCCACACCCAGACCCATAACCACATTTCTTCTGTTCCCTTGGACCTACACTGCCTCCCCATTTAAAATCTCACTTATAGCGTTCTCAATAATCTTGCTCCCCCCTATTTGTCTGGCCTTCTCTTGCTCAATCATCGCCCTCACACGCTACAAGCTTCCTCTTTTGGGCCTCTCACAGTTCCTCTGTCCAAACTCCACAGCTTTGGTGACCAAGCCTCCTTCAGGGTAGCTCCGCTTCTCTAGAATTCCCTTCCCCTAGATGCCCGTAACTCTCATTCACTCCAAACCCCGCCTAGAAATCTTCCTGTTCTCCCAAGCATTCTACTCCCTCCATTCTACATTATCCTCTTTGATCGGTGTGCTCTGTGCTCTGCTAGCATTGTCTGGCCTGGTTACTTGTCCTGGTTTTATTATACTTTTCCCCTACATTTACTCCCTTATTTCAATTCCAGTCAAACTGTTGTCCAATAAATATAGCCTCTCCAGTGCTTATCCTCTTTCACCCACTGCTGCCTGTTTTGTAGCTCAACCCCAGCACAGTATTTATATTATTTGTGCTGTCACTGTCAGGATCACTTCCTGCCCTGCCCTGTCTGTTGTTTCCCTGTTTAGCCAGCAGGTGTCACTGTCCATCCTTTTCTTAAGTGATTGTAAAAAGTTAATCTTCACCTATTCCTTATAGTCACATTTTTGGACAGTGGAAGGAAACTGGAAGATCCACCAGAAATCCACACACACACAAAGGGTAAACATGCAAAATCCAGAGACACAAGGCAGCAGTGTGTGGCTACAGCGATACCCACAAATTGCCAATGTGCTGCCATCAAGTTGCTAGGCTTGCAGGGTATGCCATGTTAATATTGACATGCCATTTCATGCACATGCAGTTATCACATCGGAAGAACTGCGATAGACTGCTGGGTTCAAACCATCAATAAGTTGCACTAGATTTTTTTACTAGTCACAGGAAACAAAAGTTAGCCAACTTTGCAATTTTAATGATGGTTCCTTTTCAGCGTTATCTAGTAAAAAAAAAAAGAAATCAGTCTAATGTTTACCGCCACTGCTTTTGAATGAGCTCTGCATTCACTCTCCTAGCCAATTATAATCATTCATGTCCTTACTGTTCAACTCCTTCATCGACCATGAAGCACATTTGTGAGAAATTAAACAAAAACTGATCACGGAAAGACATTCATCTTTCATTGTATGGAAATATTTTATGTTTCATAAAGATGATATTGAGCTAAAGCAAATCACTTGGCACTGATTTTTGTTTTGCCGCAACTCACTGCAACACCACTAACTTATTTGACAGACAATTGGTACATAGTAAGTTCTATTTGGCTATATTGTTAATCTTCACCTCCTACATATTGCAAAAACTTCAAATATCACCAAAATTTTCCAATATCGTTCATTAGTTTACAAAAAAAATAATACATGGTTATTATGTACTGTATTACGTAACATGATACAGCAAAGTGATGGGACTACTCTGCATTTTAGCAGCAATTATTTTAGCATACAGGAATTGTAGAAAGTGATGACAAAGACAGCCTGGGCTACTTTGAGAAGCTAAATGGGACATAGACTGATCTATGGCTAACCTCACATTATTGGAGGAGTCCATCGAACCTGAATGTCTTCTTTTAAGATGCATTTGCATCATTCGTTCTGTGTACTGTTTTTCAGTACTGACAGACGACTGCATTTTCGTTCACTTTTAATGTGAAGTGCTTCCACGCACATCATGCTTTCGCTGTTTATTTGGACCCTCATCTATCTGTGTTTTCCTGTGACCACGTTGCCAAGTCCGTTATCACTGGATTGTACTGTAGTAACATCAGGTATACATAATTATCACTTATACATCTTGTAATTAACATTGGTTGCAACTGTTGCACATAGGTACTGTAGTCTGACTACTAACCTGAGTTTCTCCAGTTGACATTTAGGATCCTCCAGTACAGCAGAGAGCAGCTTCACTCCTGAGTCTCCTGGGTGATTGTAGCTCAGATCCAGCTCTCTCAGGTGTGAGGGGTTTGACTTCAGAGCTGAAGCCAGACACACACAGCCTGTATCTGTGATTCCACAGTGTGACAAACTGTAAAGAGAAGGAGAGAAACTCTTCACTCTCTCAGCTCTGGACATATGGTTCAACTGGGAAAGTATTTGTATTAAAATTT